GGCATCTTCTGCTTTTTGAGAATTCCAAAAGTGAGGCATCTTCTGCTTTTTGAGAATTCTCAAAAGTGAGGCATCTTCTGCTTTTTGAGAATTCTCAAAAGTGAGGCATCTTCTGCTTTTTGAGAATTCTCAAAAGTGAGGACATCTTCTGCTTTGAGAATTCTCAAAAGTGAGGCATCTTCTGCTTTTTGAGAATTTTCAAAATTGAGGCATCTTCTGCTTTTTGAGAATTCTCAAAAGTGAGGCATCTTCTGCTTTTGAGAATTCTCAAAAGTGAGGCATCTTCTGCTTTTTGAGAATTCTCAAAAGTGAGGCATCTTCTGCTTTTGAGAATTCTCAAAAGTGAGGCATCTTCTGCTTTTGAGAATTCTCAAAAGTGAGGCATCTTCTGCTTTTTGAGAATTCTCAAAAGTGAGGCATCTTCTGCTTTTTGAGAATTCTCAAAAGTGAGGCATCTTCCGCTTTTGAGAATTCTCAAAAGTGAGGCATCTTCTGCTTTTTGAGAATTCTCAAAAGTGAGGCATCTTCTGCTTTTGAGAATTCTCAAAAGTGAGGCATCTTCTGCTTTTTGAGAATTCTCAAAAGTGAGGCATCTTCTGCTTTTTGAGAATTCTCAAAAGTGAGGCATCTTCTGCTTTTGAGAATTCTCAAAAGTGAGGCATCTTCTGCTTTTGAGAATTCTCAAAAGTGAGGCATCTTCTGCTTTTTGAGAATTCTCAAAAGTGAGGCATCTTCTGCTTTTTGAGAATTCTCAAAAAGTGAGGCATCTTCTGCTTTTGAGAATTCTCAAAAGTGAGGCATCTTCTGCTTTTGAGAACTCTCAAAAGTGAGGCATCTTCTGCTTTTGAGAATTCTCAAAAGTGAGGCATCTTCTGCTTTTGAGAATTCTCAAAAGTGAGGCATCTTCTGCACGCACTTTCCCCCCCACCAGGCCCTATACGACCCTCGTTCGTTGCTCTTCCTATCATCCAGCCAAGGCACCTAACCTCCCGTTCCCCTCCTCCCCCACTCAGGAATATTGGACTCGAATGGAGGCCCCATCCACACGCCTCTCCCTCCCTTCCCACCAGACCCTATACGACCCTTGTTGCTCTTCCTATCATCCAGCCTGCACCCCACACTCACCAAAGCCCCCACCCCCTCATTCCCCCCCACATCCCTCCCCTTCCCAGGAATCGCTGACCTGAATGGGGGCATCATTCGCACGCCTCTCCCTCCCCACCAGACCTTTCTCGACGACCCTCTCCGAGTGCTTCGGGCTGTCAGGTTCGGTGAGTGGTCCTGCTGCTGTTCGGTCCTGCTGTTCCTTTCAACTGCATGTTCCCTCCTTTCCCCCGTTACCCCCCCGTTCCCCATTATCCCGCCATTCTCCCTTTATCGCTCCCTCCCCCCTGTATCCCCCCATCCTGCCGCTGTGCGGTCCTGCTGTTCCTTTCAGCTGCCCGATTCGGCTTCTCATTGGACGAGGAGTTGCGGGCAGCTGCAGCTTCGGAGGAGGTTCGGACAGCGCTAGGAAACAAAGTCAGCAAAGAGAGGATCGGAAAAGAGGTGCGTGTAAGAGAGAGGTACGGGATAAAGGTATGGGATAGAGGTATGGGATAGAGGTATGGAGTACAGTACGGGATAGATGCACGAAGTTTCCACTGGGTGCATTTGGGATTACTCAATCGACAGAAGTATTTTTTTGGTGCCCGAAAATGCGCCTCTTTTTTAGGCACCACTAAAGTCGTCTCACTGGGCGCATTTGAGAATGCTCAATCAACACAAATTTGTACCAATGGCCTCACTCAGTCACTTAGCCATGATTTGTCTGTCCCCTTACACCCGTTTTCCCTTTCCTCCTATTCTTCTCTTCCCACCCCTCACAGGTAGAGGTGATGCTCAAGTCCCGTGACCCCTATGCAGCTATCTCCCTCGTGGTCGACCTGAACCTCTTCCCCACCGTCTTCCCATGCCCGCTCTCCGCGTGCTGCTTCAACTGCCTCCTTACGCCTGTTTTCCCCTTTCTGTCTTTCCTTCCGCCCCTCACAGGTAGAGCTGATGCTCAAGTCCCGCGATCCCTACGCGGCGATCTCCCTTGTGGTAGACCTCAACCTCTTCCCCCACCGTCTTCCCGCTCCTTCTCCTTTTCCATCCTCCCCTCTCCTGCAGGTGGAGCTGATGCTGAAATCACGCGATCCCTACGCAGCTATATCTTTGGTGGTCGACCTCAACTCTTCCCCACCGTCTTCCCGCTCCCCACGCCCCTCGCACACTGCTGATGTGCCCCCTGACGACGAGTTACCTGGGTGAGTAACGTGGTAACCAGAGACAGTAACATGTGGCTTGTGCTTCAAACATGTCCCAATTCCCCTTACTCCCTCATGCCGTTTCCCCGCTCCCTCTCCCTTTCTACCCCCCCACCCTTTCCCCTCTCCCCTTTCTACCCCCCCACCCTTTCCCCCTCTCCCTTTCTATCCGCCCCCCCTCCCCTTTCCCCCCTCCCCTCATTTTTCACTTCCCTTGCAAGTCCACTTTTCTATTTTCTCTAGAGCTTCTCTCCCAAACGCTGTCATTCCACACCATGTATCGTCCATTGCACTCACTCCCTGTATCGTCCATTGCACTTACTCCCTGTATCGTCCATTGCACTCACTCCCTGTATCGTCCGTTGTACTCACTCCTTGTGTGTGTGTGTGTGTGTGGGGGTGGGGGGGGGGGGGGGGGGGGGAGGGGGGGGGGGGGAGTCCCACATGCATCAGCCTCTGTGAAGCTTCATTTGCAGCCACTTGCACACGCCTGCACCAATGGGAGAAACACCTGCCCCAGGTAATGTTCACCCTAAACCGTCCTCCAAATATAACCTCCCCCAGCTACAGCCTGTCTTCAGATGCAGCCTGTCCCCAGATGCAGCCTGCAACCCATTCACGAACCACACAGAAAGCACCATGCTTTTGTATTGAGATGTCTCAAAACAAATCTTCACACACACGGCACCATGCTTTTGTATTGAGATGTCTCAAAACAAATCTTCACACACACGGCACCATGCTTTTGTATTGCTTGATCTGTGGCCCTTGACTCACTCCCTCTGCTGTTCTGCATGTTTGCCACGTGGCAGGCTCTGATTGATCACTTGTCGGACCTTAGTGTGGGGCTGCTGCTGGCGGCGCTGCTGATGCCTCTCAGGCACGCCCACTACCTGGATAAGAAGAAGAAAGAGGTGAGAGAGTGGTAGAGAGGGGTGGAGAGGGGTAACAAGGGGTGAAGATGGGGTGGTGTGAGCGGTTGCGATGGGTGAAGAAGGGTGCTGGCGGCGCTGCTGATGTTTCTGAGGCACACGCACTACCTGGATAAGAAGAAGAAAGAGGCGAGGAAAGGGTGGAGAGCGGTGGAGAGTGGTGAAGAGAGGTGCTGGCGGTGCTGCTGATTCTTCCGGCATGCGAATTACCTGGATAGGAAGAAGAAAGAGGTGAGAGGGGTGGCGAGGGGTGGAGAGGGTTAAAGCTGGGTTGTGAGAGGGATGAAAGGGGTTGCTGGCAGCACTGCTGATTCCTTACAGGCACGTGCACTACCTGGATAGGAAGAAGAAAGAGCTAAGAGAGGTGGAGAGTGGCAACGAGGTGTGGAGAGGTGGTGAGAGGAGAGGGATGAAGAGGAGTGCTGCTGTTCTGACTGATGCCTCTCCAGCACGTGCACTACCTGGATACCGAGATGACAGAGGTGAGAGACAAGTGCTGGTGATGGGCGGCCACCAGTGCTGGTGACGGGCGGCCACCAGTGCTGGTGACGGGCGGCCACCAGTGCTGGTGACGGGCGGCCACCAGTGCTGGTGACGGGCGGCCACCGCTGCTCCTGTGGTTCTGACTGATGCCTCTTAGGCGCAACCATCACCTGGATAGGAAGCAGACAGATAGAGGACCTCTCAAACCCGCAAACCCGCAAACCCTCAAACCCTCAAACCCTCAAACCCTCAAACCCGCAAACCCTCAAACCCTCAAACCCTCAAACCCTCAAACCCTCAAACCCTCAAACCCTCAAACCCGCAAACCCTCAAACCCTCAAACCCTCAAACCCTCAAACCCTCAAACCCTCAAACCCTCAAACCCGCAAACCCTCAAACCCTCAAACCCTCAAACCCGCAAACCCTCAAACCCTCAAACCCTCAAACCCTCGAACCCACAACCCTCAAACCCTCAAACCTCTAACCCTCAAACCCTCAAACCCGCAAACCCTCAAACCCGCAAACCCTCAAACCCGCAAACCCTCAAACCCGCAAACCCTCAAACCCTCAAACCCTCAAACCCTCAAACCCTCAAACCCGCAAACCCTCAAACCCTCAAACCCACAAACCCTCAAACCCGCAAACCCTCAAACCCTCATCAGACGAGTTCTTTGGCGCCTCAGATTTGAGCCGTCTCTTTGTCTTTGCATGTACCTTTGCAGGTGCCCTTCGCGCAACACATCGCGCTGGACTCACTCAAGCTCAAGCAAGCCCCTGTCCCTGTCCCTCCACTTTCTTGAACCCCGGAATCTTAAACCCAAACCCCGAACCTCCCCATCCCCTCTCCATGTCTTGTCTCGCTGCAGGTGCCATTTGCACAACACATTGTTTTGGACTCACTCAAGCTCAAACGAGCATATGCTGACATGGCAGGTGGCCCCACCCTTTATGCTGATGTGGCATGTGCCCCCACACCCTCTATGTTGACATGCCTCTTGTTCAAATATTTCAATGCTACCTTCCCTCTTCACACAGCACTTAACCTTCTTTCACTCTTGATGATCCTCGAAGTTCCCTATGTCAAGTTCCCTATGTCAAGTTCCCTATGTCAAGTTCCCTATGTCAAGTTCCCTATGTCAAGTTCCCTATGTCAAGTTCCCTATGTCAAGTTCCCTATGTCAAGTTCCCTATGTCAAGTTCCCTATGTCAAGTTCCCTATGTCAAGTTCCCTATGTCAAGTTCCCTAAGTCAAGTTCCCTAAGTCAAGTTCCCTATGTCAAGTTCCCTATGTCAAGTTCCCTATGTCAAGTTCCCTATGTCAAGTTCCCCCTTTCGCCTTCTCTCTCCCTCCGCCTCCCTCCCTCCATCCTGCCGCCTGCAGGTGGTGCTGCTGCATGCAGCAGCGGAGGACTTCGCTGCCCTGGCGCCCCTGCTAGCCACAGGAGGAGCAGCAGGAGGGACACAAGACATTATCCTTATCCTCGTTACCTCTGCTCCTGACCGCTACTCCATGCTCCCTCACCCCCCCCCTAACCCCCTCAGGTGGTGCTGCTGCATGCAGCAGCGGAGGACTTCACTGCCCTGGCGCCCCTGCTGGCCACAGCAGGGGCAGAGGGAGCAGGGGCAGCAGTAGGAGGAGTGGGTGATGAAGCTCGAGCTCTCACGCTGATCCAACCCCCACATGAGGAGTTCCGAGGCAACCCAAGAGTGCTGGCAGGTGCGCTGGGTGCTGGCAGGTGCAGTGCGGTTGTTGGCCACAGCAGGGGCAGAGGGAGCAGGAGCAGCAGTAGGAGGAGTGGGTAGCACGGCACGAGCTCTCGCGCTGATCTCACCCCCTTATTAGGAGTTCCGAGGCAACGCAAGGGTGCTGACAGGTGCGGTGCGGTTGGTGGGTCACTGGCAGGTAAGAAGGCACGAGGCCTTACTCTGATCGCACCCCGCATGAGGAGTTCCAAAGCAACGTAAGAGTGCTGGCAGGTGCAGCTGGTGGGGTGCTGGCAGGTAATGAACCACGAGCTCTCACGTGAATCCCACCCCCGGCATGAGGAGTTTCAAGGCCATGCAAGGGTGCTAACAGGTGCAGTTGGAGCTGGCAGTCGGTTTTTGAGTCGACTCAAAAACCGAGTTTCAAGGCCATGCAAGGGTGCTAACAGGTGCAGTTGGAGCTGGCAGTCGGTTTTTGAGTCGACTCAAAAACCGAGTTTCAAGGCCATGCAAGGGTGCTAACAGGTGCAGTTGGAGCTGGCAGTCGGTTTTTGAGTCGACTCAAAAACCGAGTTTAAGTCCATGCAAGGGTGCTAACAGGTGCAGTTGGAGCTGGCAGTGCAGTGCGGTTGGTGGGGTACTGCCTGGCAGGTGCGCTTCTTTCTGCGCTGCTCGTCTGCATTCCAACCCCCCATTCCAGAACCTTTTTGTCCTTTTCTTTTCTCCATCCCCCCTTCTTCCCTCACCATGCAAACTCCTCCGCAAGGTGAAGGGCTGCTGGCCGTCGGCTGTGCTGCTCGCCTCTATTCTGCCCCTCATCAAAAGCCCTTCTTCTCAAAACCTCCTTCCTAACCCCTCTTCCCCCAATCTCTCTTCCCTCACGCCCTTATTCAGGCAAGCTCCTCCGCAAGGTGAAGGGCTGCTGGCCGTCCGCTGTGCTGCTAGCGTCCACTCTGCCCCTTGCTCTGAAGCCCTTCTTCCCAAACCCCCCCTGCTGCCCCCCTTCACTCAAATCCACCTGTCCTTCGAAATCCCCTCTCCTCCCTCCCCAGGCAAGCTGCTCCGCAAGGTGAAGGGCTGCTGGCCATCCGCTGTGCTGCTGGCCTCGACTCTGCCGCCCGTTTCATCGGCCGCCCGCAGTGAACAGTGTGGGCGGGAGGGGGAGGGGGCAAAGGGGGAGAGAGGCGAGGGAGAGAGGGAAGAGGAGGATTGCAAGAGGAGGCGGATGGAGGGGAAGGAAGGGGGTGCAGGAGAGGATGTGGGGAGTGGAAGGAAGGGGTGTGAGCAGAGCGAGTTTTATCTGCAAGTTCTACAAGCGGTGCATGCCATGGGTATGTACTTGTATTGAGGTCACTATTGGGTGCAAGTATGTTGTGGTATGTGCTTGTGTTGAGGTCACTATTGGGTGCAAGCATGTTGTGGTATGTGCTTGTATTGGTGTGACTTTTGACTTGATTCTTATGTCACATATTGGTGAATGCCATGAGTTGCCGATGTTGGCATGGTATGTGTTTGTATTAGGACTCAGGCAAAAATGCTCGTGTTTATGTCTGCATGCATCTTTTGCCCCCCTCCTTCCCCCTCCCCACCCCCCTCTCTCCCTGTTTTCACGACCAGCACTATTCTGAGGCTTCTGCCGTATTCATAACCTCCCTTCCGGCCAGGCTTGGATGGCGTGTGGGGCACGAAGCCCATATTCAATGCACGGGATGACATTTTTGCTGACTTGACTGCTTTCAACCCCTTCCCCTACCAGGTTTGGATGGTGTGTGGGACACGAAGCCCATACTGAATGGCCGGGATGTGGTTGCTGCTCTGGAGCTCAAGAAAGGCGACCCACGTACCGGATACTGGGTACGTCAAGTGAACAAGTGTGTCAGAAGTTTGCCGATTGCACTTCCCAGTTGTGTAGTTCACATCTATTTTGACACATCCCAGGCCTTGGCACGTCCAGTTCTTATGCGTGGCTTTTGTTTATGCTTGTGTGCAGATGGATCGAGTGATGGAGTGGCAGTTAGCTAATCCAGATAATGGATCAACCGAGGAATGTACTGCTTGGTTGAAGACGCAGGCGCAAGTCCGTGAAGCGGGAAGTACCAAATGATATACAGATGGATGGAGGTTTATGAAAGCAAGCTGTTACGCATAGCTAGCTTGTGTACATGATCCAGGTAGTGTACTGTAATGAAAAGGTGATCTGCCATTTTACAAATCTGTTCAGCGACTTTGTGGAACTCCGCACGTGTTCAGCAGAAGGGTGTGCTGGCTGGATCTGGGAGTCTCTCACGTGGCTGCGTGACAGCACACGCGATTTCAGCTGCTTCGATTCGTTCAAGACGGTTCCTGGTTGTTTCAGCCCACCGATTGGGGGTGTCCGCCAGTAGGGGGCCCGATTGACCCGAATTCACACCTCAGCTTCGCACACCTGACCAATCGAGTAATTTGACTGACCCCATGCCACTTTCATATCCTGAGAATGCTAGGCAAGTCGTAGCTGACGTGTGCGAAGGGTCACCATGACCCGTCATGATATCACAATCTGACAACTGTATGCCACAGAGGATGCTGTTGGAGGGACAGCGATGACAAGCTCTGTTCTCATAGCCGTTCGATCTGTCGAAATAACCAATCGAAACCGCACGGTCCATGTCTGACAAGATGAAGATTTCGCTCGCTGGCGGGTGTATACCTTCGGCTTTCAGCAGCATTTCTTGAGATTGTTCCACTCCACACCATCTTCGTCCTCATCCTCATCATCCTCATTGTTATCGTGGTAATTTTGTTGTTGGCATTGTCAAATTCATTTTTTCACATCTTCATTTTCTGTTTTTCTCCTGTTTCGTGTTCAACCAGTAGTGTCGGCCGTGATTTCGCAGCATTCGTCTTGCATTTATCCAAGTTTCGTGCTCGCATTAGGGTAAAGTAATCTGCATTGCTATTTAAACATCCATCAGTCGCGGCTATCGTATTCTTAAACGTGTGAAGAACATTGTATCTGAGCCGGGCCCTCATTCCACCCGGCTTTCTCCTCTTTGTAAGCTCCAACGCAGGTCGAAGCCTGGTTATAACTGTGCTCTTTCTTTCGCACTGCTACCTTCACTCGTCCATCATATTCGTCTTGCATCCTCGTTTCTGATGTCCTTACATCGGCGGTTTCCATGATTTCGCAATTGGTTAGGCTGTCGGAAGCTGACAGACGACGCTCGTCGTCAGCACTTGACCGCTTCACGGTTCCACTATCCATTACCCTTTTTCGCCATTCCTTGAACACTGTGAAACCTGTTGTCCAACCCTCGAATGTCCCGAAACATCATGAATCCCGGAGGTCTACTTGTTAACAGTCTCGACAACTCATTGCACCATCTTCCACAGAGTTTACCAGCCAGGCGAAGATGACCCCCCTGACCCCCCTTTCCCTCTTAATCCCTCTTCCTCTTATTGACCGACTCGTTCAAGCTCTCCTGAATCCATGCTGGCCATCTTGCACAAGTCCATAAGCGATCACCGGAGGAGGCAATGACACCTGCAGCATTCCACGCTTCCCCCCTCACTGACGCCCCATGGCTCCTTCTCCCCTGTTCATTCCAACCAGTAGGTCGACCCAAAGCGCTTGCAGCCATGTTGGCCAATCTTCCAGAAGTCGCGATAGGCGAGGCGCCACATGAGCTGATGGCGCGAACGCTGAACCGATCGGCGTCCATGTCGGGGCCGGCTCGACGCGAAGGAGATCCTTCACGGCTTCAAGAAGGCGCACCCGGGCGCCGTGCTTATGCAGTGTTTGACGAGCAACACGCTATCGCGTACACGCACGACATGCAAGACTTTTCTCATGCCCAGGTGGGTCGCAGCCTTCAGATGTTTCGTCATTCTCGGTGCATCCGTGCTTCTGGTCGTTGCGTGAGCTGTCATGGCTCTAAGCTTGAGCTGAAACATACCTTTATTCTCGTTTTGTATAGTTTACTTCGTCAAAGAAACTCCTTCACGACAATTCTACCCTAACCTCTTCCGCCGTTTCCAGCACCTGGGAACTTTCCGCGTACGATGCCATCTCCTCCACCTCCGGAGTCAACTTCCAAGGGCCTCGCGCAGTTCGGGCACCTGCACTCTTTGTACTTGCTCCTCGCGGTGTTTCCTTGTCCCTCTTCCGAGAGGCCCGGCTTGAACCTTAACTCGTTCATCCATGTTCTCCCGGTCAAATGTAGAACTTCGGGTGCAGCGTCGGCAGCGGGTGCTGCCTGGGCCGGCATGCCAGCATGGCCAACCCTCCCGCATTCTTTCCCTCTACTCTTTCCGCTCCCCTCCGCTCCCCCCGTTTTAACAGGCAATTTGCAGCATGCGACGATGTCTTCTGCGCGTTCGCCGGCAACATCGAGAACCTCGCGCAGCTGCGACAGCGGTACGGGCTGGACCGGCACGTGAGCGAGGTGAATCTGATCATCGAGGCGTACAAGACGCTGCGCGACCGCCGTCCGTACCCGCCGGACCAAGTCATCGCGGACCTCGCAGGCGCGTTCGCGTTCGTTCTGTACGACAACAAGGCCAAGACGGTGTTCGTGGCGCATGTGAGTTGGTGGAGGGGATAAGGGCGTATGAAACAGGACATTCTGGGAATGGGGAGCGATGTATGGTAGGGAGGAACGCAGCGTTCGCGTTTGTGCTGTACGGCAACAAGGCGAAGACGGTGTTCGTGGCGCATGTGAGTTGATTGAGTGGAAGTTGGTGTAGATGGCAATGCTAGCGATTTGGCATTGTTTGGTTAGGGTTATGGATAACCGGTCAGAGTTAGGGTTGCTTTGTGAGGCTCTTGTAGACATCGTTTAGTTGTGACCCGTTGAGCTAGTCAGAGAGAGAATCTGAAGAACAGAAGAAACGAGGCAGGGTACAGTAGCGAAGATGACAGATGATGAGTCAGGAGGAATTAAGAGCCAGGGCGGGTGTCCAAACTGAAGTCCGAGGATTCAAATTCACAGATGATGATCCAGAGGGGGATGAAGAGGAGACGAGGAGACGGGAATGGTGCTCTTTGTCAGAGGGCGCTTGCTTGCTAGATTCTACGCGTTGTATTCCGCTACCTTCCCGCTCCGCCCCTCCCCCATCCCTACATCCACCATGCCGATGCTTCCCATTGTCACCACAAATACCCGAAAGGAAAGGTGCCCTTGTACTGGGGCAAGTGTTTGGATGACTGTTTGCTCGCGTTCCCATTCTCGCCTTCGCTTCCCTCCCCTCCCCCCTACACGTACCCCCACTGCCCCCACCAGGACGCGCAAGGCAAGGTGCCCTTGTACTGGGGCAAGTGCCTGGACGACGGAGTGCTCGCCTTCTCCGACGACCCTGCTGTGCTCAAAGCCGGCACCGGCTCCTCCTTCGCCCCCTTCCCTCTCGGTACGTCTCCTTCTCCTTCTTTGTTCTCAGTATGCGCCTGCCCCCCCGCCCCCCTTCCGCTTGGTACGTCCTTACCACTTCCCCCCCCATCGCGTTCGCGGACGACCCTGCTGCCCTCAAGCCTCGAACTGGTTCCTCCTTCACCCCCTTCCCTCTCGGTATGCGCTTTGCCCCCATCACGCATCCCATCCACACATCTCTTCACACATCCCATCACACACCCCATCCCACATCCCTTCAAATTCCATCCCACATCCCATCCCACATGCCATGGCACATCCGTTCACACACCCCATCACACACCCCATCACGCACCCCATCACACACCCCCATCACGCACCCCATCACACACCCTATCACACACCCCATCACACACCCCATCACACACCCCATCACACACCCCATCACACACCCCGTCACACACCCCATCACGCACCCCATCACACACCCCATCACACCACCCCATCACGCACCCCATCACACACCCCATCACACACCCCGTCACACATCCCATCACACATCCCATCACACATCCCTTCCCACCCTGAGAAGCAGCTCAAGGCCATTCAGCACGCGGACAGCCAACTTACCCCCACTTTTCTCCCTGTCACCCCTTGGCAACCCTTGTCAACCTTTGTCACCCAGCCCCACCCTTCGTCACCGCATCCCACCCACACAGGCTGCTTCTAATTCTCGGACGGTGGCTCCGCATTTTCACGGACCCCAAGAAGCAGCTCAAGGCCATTCAGCACATTACCTGCCAACTTACCACCGCTTCATTTCCTGTCACCCCTTGTCACCCCTTCTCACTTATCCCCACTCATGCAGGGCTGCTTCTACTCTTCTGACGGTGGCCTCCGCAGCTTCACAGACCCGGAGAAGCAGCTCAAGGCCATTCAGCACATTGACAGCCAGGGGGAGCTGTGTGGTGCCACCTTCAAGGTCGACAGCCAGCAGGATCTGACTCAGATGCCTCTAGACTCCAAGGACGACAGTGGACGGGGCTGGTCGTAAATGTGTTGGAAGTAAGAAAAATTTTATCAGCGGGGAGCGGAGGTTAGGGTGGAGGATGGTTGTTCTGCTACAGTGGTGCTCGTTACACCTACGGGGGTGTCGACTATACAGCACTAAGGGGAGTTGTGCTGCTGCTGCTGCAGCTTGTTACGGAACGCCGTTTGAGAAACACAATTGTTCTCTACATGGAATAGTGTGCAATACTAGTGTAATGGAGGCCATGGGGCAGGACGGGATGCTGTTAGAGGCTCGTTCGTTTGATTTCATTGCAATGGATGATGCCTAATTTGTTTCCAGTACATTATTGTCCCTCACTCCAGCTTAGGGAGTGGGTAGGCAGGTGTTTGTTCTGCTATACAGATGCGCATTACACTAACAGGCATACAATAGCTGCTGCTGAATGATAAGATAGTACAGGGTGACAGTAGAGCGCTGACGAGTGAAACTGTCCCGCTGCAGCTTGTTTGCTCTGGTCAATAAACACAGATGTCACCTACAGGTGCAGCATTTGATAGTGGTTTAGCGGCGACGGTGTAGGGTGAGGAAAGTAGAACGAGAATGAATGACTAAGGAATGGAAGTGATACAAATATGCAACCCTAGAAATGTGTATCCCATATAGGCTACCCCACTATAGCCTACACAATATTATAATTTGACACACCCCCATAGGCAAAGTGGGGGAGAACAAGGGGTCACAAGACCAGTCAAGCAAAGCAGACAAAGCTCAGGGTGGATCACAACGTCAACACACAGTCCGAGCACAAGGTCAAGGCCACAAGGCCAGTTCACATGCAAGAGTACACCCACACATATATATATATATATATATATATATATATATATATAAGGCTAAACAAGCAAGAGCAGGTATATATATATGTAAGAGTACAAGCAAGGTCAAGGGGTGAGCAAGTGAGGCAAGACAGGCACAAGACCCAGCTGAGTGCAGAAGCGCTGATGATCACAAGGCGAAAGTGCCTTGGTGAAAACATCAGCAGTGTTGGCCTCAGAGGCCACGTACGCAAGTCGCAAACTGACCACGCTGCTGCAACTCACGAGCAAGAAAGTAGCGGAGAGCAATGTGCTTCGTTCTGTGCTCCAGGCGCTGCTCCCGACACAAGGCCAGCATGGCCTTGTTGTCTACGTACAGCACTGGAGGAGAACGAGGCGGCTCTCCGAGGTCAGTCAGCAGGTAGGTGAGCCAGCGAAGCTCCTGTGCAGCCATGGCCCCGGCGTAGATCTCAGCCTCACAACTGGAGCCGAGAACAGAAGACGAGCGAGTAGCCCGCCACGAAATAGAGCCGGAACCAAGACTGAAGGTGTAACCCTGTGACGACCGCTGCGTAGCCTGGTCGTCAGCCCAAGAAGCGTCCGCGGTGCCCAGTGAGGACCACTGGACTGCGCCCTCCAAGCACTAGCCCCATGCCCGACGTACTGCACAAGTAGCGCAACACCCTCTTCGCTGCAGCCATGTGCTCTGGTCTGTGTCTCCCAGGAGCAACATAGCGTGCAAGAATGCTAAGAGGGTATGCAAGGTCAGGTCGTGTGCAGGTCATCAGGTACATGAGGCAGCCAACAAGCTCTGGGTACGGGCCACTCGACTTCTACGGACTCATCCGAAGGCAGAGCTGAGAGCGAGTGGCGAGTAGACAGAGGAGTGGCCTGAGGCGAGGAGTACGTGAAGCCGAAGCGCTGAAGGACCTGATGCACCATGTGTGACTTAGTCAAAGTAATGGTGCAGCGTGCTCTGTCCCGGGTGATCTGCAAGCCAAGGTAGCTGCGCACTTCATCCAGGTCTGTGCACGTGTGTCTCTTCTGCAGCTCGGACTTCACGTGGCCGAGTCCAGCAGTGTCAGCTGTGGCAAAGACCAAGTCGTCGACGTACCCGATGATGTAGAACGGCGGCAGAGAGGTGTCGGTGCGCAGAAACAACGACGGGTCAGCAGTAGAGGGAGCAAACCCAAGAGCCGCAAGCGTAGTCCTCAGTGTGTCGTGCCACTCACGCGGTGCCTGGCGGAGACCGTAGACTGGCCGTCGGAGGCTCCACTGGGTGCCAGGAGGGAAAGTCCCAGTGAAGCCAGGTGGACGGCGCAGCCAGATCTCCTCGTGCAGGCTACCCTGCAGGAAAGCAGTGCTGAAGTCAAGGGAGTGAAGCTCGTAGTCACGCTGAGCGGCTATGTGTAGCAGCACCCGAAGAGTGGTCATCTTCGGGGTGGGAGAGAAGGTCTGAAAGTAGTCAACTCCCTGCCGCTGACTGAAGCCACGAGCCACGTACCGCGCCTTGAAGACAGGTGGAGAGCCCGGCGGCCGCTTCACCCTGAAGATCCACATGCCACTGACGATGTTCGCCCCAGGAGGAGGAACCGCGTCAACGTAGGTGCCTGTGGACTTCCAGGAAGCCATCTCTGCATCCATAGCTGCCTACCACTGAGAGGAGTAGGGACCCTCTACGGCCTCCGCGTAAGAGCGCGGAGTCGGGATGTCTAGTGCATCCGGGTCTCCCTCAGGGGTAAGCAGTACGGACGCGAGATGAGGTGAAGCAGCAGCCAGACACTGGAACTCCTCCTGCCTGTCCTCAAGGACGTCCGTGCCAAGAGCACACTCACCCCCGACGGACGGAGGACAGACAGACGCAGACTCAGCAACAAGACTAGCAGCGTAGTCTAGACGACAGTGAGCAGCAAAGTCGACGAGCTCAGCAACAAGAGCAGACGCAGCAGTGGACTCAAAAGAGGGGTGAGTGACGACATTAGCAAGGAGACGCGTGACGGTAGGACTGGCAGCACGAAGAGAGTCCGACTCCGGGTCGGCAAGGGCAGGAAGAGAGGACTCAGGAGGAGAAGGCAAAGGGACACGCAGAGGAGCAGTGGACGGACGCAGAGACATCCGGTGCGTGCCAGGGACAGGAGGAGGACGCTGACACGAACCGCGACCACTAACGCGAGCAGCACGAACAGGCGACGCGGGACGAGACGCAGGCTCACGACGCTCAGCATGACCTCCGGTAGGACCAGTGTAATGAGAGGGAGCAGGCAGTGGGAAGGCGGGCGGTAACTTTGACTGTGACTGGACAGGCGGTGGACACTCTACAGGAGGAGAAGGACCAAGAACCTGCTGAAGGAGCGGAACGAAGTACCGCCGAGGCCGCGCGGCGACTCCAGACACAGCAGGGACAGCACCAGCACCCTTAGCGGCAGCACCAGCGCCAACAGCACCTCCAGCTACAGGACCTCCAGTAGTACCAACAGCACCCGCAGCAGGACCACCGCCAGGACTGACAGCAGTAGCCTCAGCGCCAACACCCTCAGCAGCTCCAGCTCTAGTCGTACCCGCAGGCCCAGCAGCTCCAGCACTCCCAGGACGAGCACCTCCGGGACCGGCGGCACCAGCACCCTCAGCGGCCGAAGAAGCTCCAGCTCCAGCAGTACGCCTCCAGCGCCGGGCAAACCACTCGCGCAGCTCCTGTGGAGAGAGTGGCTCCCGCCGAGACGAAGCACCCGGAGAACCTCCAGGCCCAGCACCGCCAGACGCCACACGAGCAGGTCGAGCGGCCGCTGGCTCCGCACCACCAGGCTCAGTAGCTCCAGACGCAGCACCCCCAGGCTCAGCAGCTCCTGACGTAGCACCCCCACGCTCAGCACCCCCAGTCGTAGCACCCCCCGGGCTCAGCACCCCAGTCGCAGTACCCCCAGGCTCAGCAACCCCAGTCGTAGCACCCCCAGGCTCAGCACCCCCAGTTGCAGCACCCCCAGACTCAGCACCCTCAGGCTCAGCACCCACGCGCGCAGCACCCCCAGAGTCAGCACCCCCAGGCTCAGCACCCGCAGCAGTACCAGAGTCACCAGCAAGCTCGACCGGCTCGACTGCGTCTACCTGGGACACACCTGAAGGGGCAGGACCCTGAGGGGGGAGGGGGGTCTACCGGGGGGGGGACCTGGTACAAGGAAGTGCGGTGGCGGGGGGAGGGAAGGAGTGCGGTAGGGGAAGAGGCAAGTAGTAGGGGACTGACTCGTCGAACGTGACGTCCTGGGAGGACAGAACACGACGAGAGGTGGGGTGGTAGAACTGCCACCCAGGGGCGTCAGGGGGGAAGCCAAGGAAGACACAGGGAGCAGCACGAGGGGACAGCTTGTCCGCAGACAAGTCGCGGACAAACGCCCGAGATCCCGAAACACGGAACGCAGACGCATCGCCGACCTTCCCCGTCCACAGCAAGGCTGGGGAGGTCTCCGGCCTGGAGACCCAGGGGTGAAGGTTGATCTGATGCGCCGCGTACCCAACCGCAAACGGCCCACAGAAAATGGGGGGCCGGCCGCATGCATCATGGACGTACGAGCGACGGTCCATGACCATGCCAATGCGGCGCTCAGCAATCCCATTTTGCTGTGGAGAGTCCGGAAGCGTAAAGGTCTGGCGGATGCCTCACGCACGATAGTAGGCTCGCAGAAGGCCAGAGGAGAACTCTCCGCCTCGGTCTGAGTGCAGACGCAGAACAGGAAAGTCCAAGCCGAAGCTCCTCCTGAGCTGGAGACGAGCTGCGCGGATCCAGTCGATCAACACCTCAGTGACATCACCCTTGCCGCGCAAGGGGAAGACTGTGGTGTAACGCGAGTAGTCGTCAACCACCAGCAGGAAGTAGCGCTCGTGACCCTGTCCACGGACGCGGGCCGGGCCCCACACGTCCATGTGAAGCATCTGCAGCGGGGCTTCTGTCGGGGGGAAACTGAGAGGGGTGAGGGGCAGCCCGGAGCCGCCCCTCGACACAGGGGACACAGGAAGGACCAGGCCCCAGAGGAAGGGGAGGGAGGGACCGGGGAAGACCAGAGACAAGGACACGGGAAGCCATGCCTCGGAGACGAGGTAGGGAGGGGTGACCAAGACGGTGGTGCCAGAGGAGAGTCTCGTGAGACAGGAGGCGACACGAGCAGGGGGCAGACTCAGGACCAGACTTGGACGCTGCAGCAAACACCTGACCCGACGCAGCTACCTGTCCAGAAG